GCTGCAGTGCCTCCGGTATGTAGCGATACAAGAACGACTGCCACTCGAGGAGAAATCGTCGCGTAGTCTCCACACCTTTGGTGTCCGAGCCCCAATGCTCAAGTCCATAGTTGCAGTACTTGCGCAATAATTCGTAACGTTGGCCAGAAGATGGCTCCCAGGCCTTGTGCTCCTTTATTTCCTGGAAAATCCAGGGCTTAATGAGCGCTCCTCGTCCAATCATCACTGAGCTGACATGAGGAGCCATCTTTCGCCTCTCCACGTAGTCCTCGTAGCTAAGAATGTCCCCGTTGCCGATCACTGGCATGCGTTTGGCTTTGGCAGCGCACTCCTCAATGTAGCTCCAGTTGGCGTGCTTAGTGTAGCGCTGCTCCCTGGATCGCCCGTGGAGGGTTACGGCGGAAGCACCCCACTCCTCTACCATGGGAAGCAGCTCGTGTGCTACCGATTTGTCCGCATAGATTCCGGTGCGCATCTTCACGGTGAAGGGCAGACGATCTGACAAGGCCGAACAACTGCGAACAGTAAGCTCAGGATATTTGTGCGCCTCATCAATGCGCTACCTCCACCTTGCTGGTAAATTAAATCGATAGGACCCAATGTTAAGATCTATGAAATTCACTTGGGCGGTCTCTGCAATGACCTGTGCAGCCTGGGCAATCATGTTTGGATTGTTTCCGCACAATTGCACACCAAATACGTCCTCGCTTTCGTGGCGCTTGGTCAAAGCCCACTCCTGACCTAGGCCCTTAACCAGGGGCATAGCGCAGGCCATCTCGCCGCAAGTGATATCTGCACCGAACTCCTTGCAGATGCGTCGAAAGGGCAAGTTCCCTACAGTGGTCAACGGGGACAAAAGGAGTTTATCGCGGAAATCAACGGCTGGTTTTTGTTCGGCATCTCTTCCAGTATTGGAGTCATAAGTCACACAACCCGCTGAAGTTCCAGTATCAACGGTGTTGTTATCCTGATTGACTGGATCAGTGCTTTCTGGCTGTGTATCCGTCGTAGGTTCTGACTGCTCGTTGGTTTGGATAGGCTGCTCTTCTAAGGCATCTTTGTTATTTTTCTGCTCCTCTTTTTGTTTTCGGGAATCTCGTAGTTTCTCTGCCCGCTTGATGAGCTCCTTGCTTTGGCTAAAATCGTAGTCGCGCTTCCGCAGCCGCACCTGAAGTTCTAAAAATGCGATTAGCTAAGACGATTTTTATTCTATATTCAGCACAAACTACAATACCAACCTGAGGTTATACCATTGCACGTAGTGGGAGCATTTTCATTGTACTCCTGCTTCCTTATGTTCCTTCCAAGCTCATCCGTGTGGTTCTTGGCAAACCGACAGCTTACTCCCCGCGCACAGTAGCCTTTTGTGGTGTAAACATAGCACTCAGGGCCAAGGTCCTCGCCCTTAGCCGCCAGAAAGGCATCCAGATCATGAACATAGCGGCAATTTGGCACGGAACAGGGTTCTCCTCCAGTTCCATCAATTAGAGAGTGACAGAGATGCGAATACCGCTCATCCTTGAACACTGGTCGATTCTTTGAGAATACAAAATTTAACTCTCACTCTTCGTAAGAAGTTTCAATAAGGATTATTTTCTCACTTTGTTTTGACCCCGTTTGCGTTCCTTTTTGTTCCATTTATTGTTTCCACCGGGATTCTTAGCTGCGCCACCTTCAGCTTCACCTTCCTCGCGCTTTCTCTTGTTGGTTTCTGCTTTGTCGAATGACAAGCCGCTCTCGTTGCCTTCTTGGAGAAGGTATCTGAAGGAGATTGTCCATATACTATTAATTTATAAAGAGTTTGGGAATACACTCCGGTTTTATATAGCAAATACCCGCCTCCATTTCACGTGTTGGCCTGTTTGCTTTATTGTTTTCTTTATCAATCAGCCGGTCACAAAATAAACGTGCGAAGAACCGGCGATAGTACTATCGATAGCTTAGAAAGAAATTTGAAAATTCAAATCATCAATTTTCTGGACTATAAAGACCTGTGAACTCGCATTTATTATGCTTCTTTAACTTTAAAAACAAAATAGAAACTAATATATTCCAAAAGTATGGATAATTTTTAGTTACCGCGTTGTTTTAAAGTTTTATTTAATAAAATAGTGTTGGAAAATGCAATTAAGCCCCAAACCATCGATAATAACACCAGCAAAGAAAACTATCGACAACAGAAAACGCATTTTGATGGTTCAGCTGTTTAAATTCCTGTTAAAATCCACAAAGGCGGTAGGAGTTGCACAAACGAAATTAAAATAATCCAATTGCTATCCCGCCGTAGCCCGCCCGAGCCCACTTCCGACCCAGCTTCTTGGACACTTTGCGGCTGGCAGTCCGAGGAGGACATGGAGAAATGGGTTGCCCAAATACGGAGGAGTCGGCGGTCAGGGTGGCTGCGTCTATTTCGTGGCCAAGGAGGGGCTTACGCTGCGCAAAGTGGCCCAGGGATTGCGGGACAAGCGTGTGGCCGCTTCCAGCGGCGAGGACAGCAGCAAGGCAAGCATCTTTGGCCGGCGAGGAGTGGACCAGCGCATCGAGGTACCGGTGGGAGTCCAGGTATGACGAGCGCCATAAGCTGATTGCTGATCTCAACGAAAACGATGCGACCTGCATAGTGGCAGGCGGAGGAACTGGTGGTGCACAGGAACGAACTTTTTGGGACGTCCCGGTGAGAGCCGCACTGTGAATTTGGACTTGAAGTTGATAGCGGACGTAGGACTCGTCGGATTTCCCAATGCCGGGAAGAGCACGCTGCTTAAGGCCGTCTCCAATGCAAAGCCCAAGATTGCGGCTTATCCCTGTACGTAATTCGTTTGCTTGCATTAACGATTTCATGAAAAAATATTGTTTTCATCTTTAGTTACCACTATCCGGCCGCAGATTGGAACCGTGGAATACAGCGACTTGCGCTCCATCACAGTGGCAGATCTTCCTGGTCTTATCGAGGGAGCCCACGCAAACTTCGGCATGGGCCACAAGTTTCTCAAACACATCGAACGTACCCGTCTACTCCTCTTCATGGTGGACATCTTCGGCTTCCAACTGAGTCCCCGACACCCACATCGCGATTGCCTGGCTAACATATATGCCCTGAACAAGGAGTTGGAGCTCTACGACCCAACTCTGCTGGAAAAACCCAGTGTGCTGTTGTTAAATAAAATGGACAAGGATGGCGCCAGCGAGATCTTTACGAAAATGAAGCCGGTCATCACTGACTTGGCTAGCGGGCTGGCGCAATGCCCGAGGAACTGCGGCCAAAGCAGGTACTGAAGTTCGAGAGTGTCGTACCCATCTCGGCAATGAACTCTACAAGGTGACAAGTAAAGTCGCAGTTGCGGAGGACACTATTACGACTGGCCGAGAAGCAATTCCTGGCAGATGAGGAGCAAATTAAAGAGCAGTTGCAGCAGCGCGTGGGTCTTGTGGGACCAAAATTACTTAGTTGAAATACATAACAAATTTCACGTATACATGTGATTTGTTAATAAAGTATATAGTTTTTGGTTAGCATCAAAAGTCTATTTATGATCCAGCTTGAATTCTTCTTTTAAGCAAATGAGAGATCCTTAGTTTTGAACACTAAAGTTTATCTTTTTATATATTTTAAAAATGTAGAAACTAGTCAAGTACCTCATGTGAGTCGTTAAATTGTTAATTAAAAGACAAAAACTAATTACAAGTTACATAATCCTTAAAGCTTTTAATGAAACATTGACTGGTTAATTGTAAAAACCTTGGGCAGATTTACTTGCTATTTGTAATAAAGAATTTTGCAAATCCGACAATCTTTATGAAATCCACCAATTTAAATTGCATATTTAATCAAATTTGAAATTATTGGCGGTCTCAAACAGTTGGCAAAAAGCTTGCGGATCTGGTATATTTAAAATTAAAAGGCTCTAGGGGTGTATTTTCGGTATATTCTAACGACCAAGCTGCAGCCCCACTTTGTTGTTGTCTGGTGGTCGTCTCGTCGTCGCGCGTCGGGAGAAAGCATAATAAAATGATTAAAATCCAACAGCCGCCGAAAAGCATCTCGATTTGCCATTGGATTCTAGTTGCAGAGTGCCATCTGTGAAGTGCCGTGCCCCAGGGCGTGAAATGCCGCCGAAGGACGACCGCCAGCGGACTCCTCGACAATGACAGTTCGACACATACACACAGACGGCCGAGGAAAAACTGGTATATAAAAGACGCCAGTGCAAAAAACAGAGCGTGCGACAAAAGAGAGGAATCGCGCGCGCCCTTAAGTTCGTGTTCGGGAACCACAACAAGCGATTCGGGCGCCGGGAGTGGAGCAATCACCCGTCCGTGATGTCACAACACAACCCAATCACACGCCCACCCTACCACTACCCGTCCCATACGACGCCGCTGGCTGCAGCAGCAGCAGCAGCATCAACAGCAGCAGCAGCACGGCAGTAGTTGGTACTCACATGTTGCTTCCTACCCAGCAGCCTCGGCCTCCCACTCCCACCCCCTCTCTCACTCGGCCTTTGGCCCTGCGCCCCCTTGCAAGGCCAACATCAGCAACAACAACGCAAACAACATTATGGGCGCCTATGGAGGAGGAGTGGGAGGGAGTGGAGGCTCGCATGGATATTTCGGCGCCGCTGGCGGTGGCCTCAATGTCAGCGGGCGGGGGGTGGTGCTGGGTCGTCCTACGGCCTTGGGGCCAACACGGTGGCATATGCTCACAACCAACTGCTACAGTACCAGCATCATCATCAGCAAAACCAGCAGCAGCAGCAGCACATAGGCCTGGGCCAGCGATCCTATATGGGCCACGATGTCATGGCCGGGAGCTATCCCTATATCAAGAGCGAACCCTTAGAGGGGTTCAGCAGCCGCCGAATCCAATGGCCCCACCTCCGGCACCAGAAATGATGAAAAATGTGAGTATTAGTAGTACAGAATTAATACAGTAGTTGCATGTATAATCGATTTAATAATAATTTCTATAATGATGGGGCCTCTCGGATAACTGTATCCCATAGATAAAGCTTCGGATAGAAAAACTACCTCACACACACCGCCGCTTTCGGAGCCATTTTCCCTATAAGTAGCGTAATTTCAGCTCAGTTTGGCGTCGAATCAATAAACATTTGTTGAGTTTCGCTGAGGTTTGGCGCTTGTTTCGTTCGGTTGGTTTCGTTTCCAGTCGCCTCGCCAACTTACGGCTCTGTATCTCTATCTGTGCTCTGTTCGGTTCGGTTCTGTTCCGTACGGTTCTGTTTCTGTTCTGTTCTCTCGGTGTGTTGTGTGCGAAAGTACTGATGTCTGTATGTATCCATTTAGCGAATGTATACTCTCGGATAGATGCTTATACTACCGGCGAACCCTAGCCAATTCGATTCCTACGCAACAACATCCAATAAATACGTTTACATATCATCTCCTTCTCCCCCTACGGGTTTCCGAATGGGTTGGTTGTCTTCCAAGTCGTATCTTATGTAACGTTTGCTCCCTAGACTAACCTACAAAGTTCCGTCAAAACGCCCGCCCGCCCTCTGCATTCCTTGTGAATTATTATGTGGGCGGGGCAGATTCGAATTGCGCACATAAATACTAATTTCTAAGGTAATAGATCATCATAATTCCGGTTTAAGATCTAATACAAAGGTGGAATAATTCATTTTAAAATATATATTTTTTCCAGACATTTCAATTTGTCATAACTCTTTATTATCATTCTATAAATCGATATCCTTCACACATACTAATTTATTCTTTTGTTTAAGTGCGGTTTAGCCGGTGAAAGTAGGAGGGATAATAATATATATTGTAAATATGAAATATATCCGATTGTACAAAGTACTCAGAGCTACAAATCTCTATATTATGTGTACGCACATATCAGACTTATCAGCTGGGATTGGGTGGGAGGCACCTACGGCCTTAAAATTTATTAGAAAACCATAGAAACCGACACTGGGTACATACTTTTTCATCTGCGCAAGTTATCCCGGACAGTGCACTTTGTAAATTTTTAACACTAATAATATAAATAAATCAGAAAATTAAACAACTCACAACTATTCCAAGTTTGTTTTCATTACTAAGGCGTTATGCCTATAAAGAAGTTGAAGAAAATCGATGTTCCCGTGGGAAAAAATAATATTTTCTATTCGTGTAGTGGGCTTTACAATATTCGTTCAAAAATAAATTATTTAGTATATTTATATTCTTCAACTCACAAAAACATTCTTCTTTACAGCGGAGCCCATTGACGACCTGGCCTACAAGTCAAACTACATAGACGACAATACGCCATTTGCGGACTTCAGCAAGTTAGCGAATTCAGCGAGGACATGCTGGTCCCAAAGTCGAGCTGACTGTCAAGGATGAGTCCTTCGTCAGGGTAGCGAGCAGAACTGTTATGCGAAATTCAAAATTAAAATATAAAACCGTTCAGAACCCCAATAGCTTTTTACGCCGTAAGCAACAATCGATCTGACGACAGCAGAGAGCCTGCCCGTCTGCCAGCGATGCAAGGAGGTGTTCTTCAAAAAGCAGACTTACCTGCGGCACGTCGCGGAGAGCAACTGCGGCATCCAGGAGTATGACTTAAATGCACCATATGCCCTATGTCCTTCATGACCGCCGAGGAGTTACAACAGCACAAACAACAGCATCGAGCGGACAGGTTCTTCTGTCACAAGTACGCGGAAAGCATTTTGCCACGATCGCTGAGTGCGAGTCGCACGAGTACATGCAGCACGATACGAAAACATTGTGTGCAACGTAAGTTTCTCCTGATTGGAAGCCGCTTGTTAACTGGTTAATTGCTATATTGATTCCCTTTGCAGATGTGCTCGGGATCTTTCGCCACGCGGGAACAACTGTATGCCCACTTGCCACAGCACAAGTTCCAGCAGCGCTTTGACTGCCCCGTATGTCGGCTGTGGTACCAAACGGCTATGGAACTGCACGAGCATCGCCTAGCTGCACCTTACTTCTGCGGTAAATACTACACAAGTGGACAATCCCGGTCCCGTCCTCCAACAGCAACCGCACGAGAGCCAGACGAACTACAAGCTGCAGGACTGTCATATGGCACCATGGAAAGTAAGTTTCTATTGCCAAAGGAATGGAAAAACAAAATACTAATCCGAAACGCTTTCGCTTCTTCTCCCCAGTGCCAAGCGCACCGCTTCTTAGACGAACTCATCCAACTCGCCTGCCTTGCCTGCGACAGCAGCGCTTATTCACTGCTGCAGCAGCGCAGGCCAATGCCGATGGAGCGGCTATTTTTGCGGCATCTTCGCTGAAGAACGAGGTTGCTGTAAAACTGGAGCGTAGCTACAGTAACTCGACCAACGAATCTTCTTATAGCGTCCAGGAGAGTGGCTACAATAATGTGTATGGCAGCAGCGACAGCTCAGTGCACGGTGCGATCGCCGGACCACAGGCACACTCTTCAACGCTGGACGACTCCGAGGATGCGCTGTGCTGTGTGCCGCTGTGCGGTGTGCGGAAGAGCACGAGTCCCACCTTGCAGTTTTTCACTTTCCCGAAGGACGAAAAGTATCTCAACCAGTGGTTGCATAACCTCAAGATGTTCCACATACCCGCTTCCAGCTACGTTAGCTTCCGGATCTGCAGCATGCACTTCCCCAAGCGATGCATCAACCGCTACTCGCTGTGCTACTGGGCGGTGCACGTTTAACCTCGGCCACGATGACGTAGCCAATCTCTACCAGAACCGGGAGCTGACCAACACCTTACCACTGGCGAAGTGGCGCGCTGCAGCATGCCACACTGTACCAGCCAGCGGGGTGAGAGCAACCTCAAGTTTTACAACTTCCCAAAGGACATCAAAGCCTGATTAAGTGGTGCCAAAACGCTCGACTCCCGGTGCAGGCAAAGGAACCGCGACATTTCTGCAGCCGTCACTTCGAGGAGCGGTGCATTGGCAAGTTCCGTCTAAAGCCTTGGGCGGTGCCCACCTTGCACTTGGGCGCCCAGTACGGCAAGATCCACGACAATCCGAAGAATCTATACGTGGAAGAAAACGCTGTTGCCTCAACTTTTGCCGTCGGAGCCGTTCTTCTGATTTCAATATGTCGCTATATCGATTTCCTAGAGACGAAGTCCTGCTACGTCGCTGGTGCTACAATCTTCGCCTCGATCCAGGAGTGTATCGTGGAAGAATCACAAATATGCAGCGCCCACTTTATAAAGGAGGCGTTGGGTCTCGTAACTATCTCCTGGTAAGTTTTTAGGCGATTTCTTGAGTACTTAAATAATACATACAAATTGAATTTCTTTTCAAGGTGCCGTGCCCACACTTCATCTGGGCCACAATGATACCTTCAATATCTACGAGAACGAACTGTGGCCCCGCCAACACCGACACCTCCTCTTGTCATCTCCAACAGCAACAGCAGTCATCTATGCATTCGCTACAACAGCAGATGCATAGCAAGTCCTATCAGCGCCGTTCGGTGGCATCCACTTCGTCATCGGCTAGCTCCGTAGCTTCGCATTATGTGGACCCGGAGATGAGCGCCTCTTACCATCTAGCCATGTCCGCCTCCGCCGGAGGCTCTTCGGCCATAAACGCTAGTGACAGCATGGACGTCTGTTGTGTGCCCAGTTGCGAGAGCAAGCGACACAATAGCGAGAACATTACATTCCACACGATTCCACGACGGCCCGAGCAGATGCGTAAATGGTGTCACAATCTTAAAATTCCCGAGGAGAAGATGCATAAGGGCATGCGAATCTGTAGCCTTCACTTCGAGCCCTACTGCATCGGTGGCTGTATGCGACCGTTTGCTGTGCCAACCCTTCAGTTGGGTCACGACGACGAGGACATTCACCGCAATCCGGACGTGATCAAGAAGCTGAACATCCGGGAGACATGCTGTGTGGCTGTATGCAAACGGAATAGGGACAGGGACCATGCCAACCTGCATCGTTTCCCTAGCAACGTGGCGTTACTGAAGAAGTGGTGCGCCAATTTGCAACGCAGCGTGCCCGATGGCAGTAAGCTTTTCAATGATGCCATCTGTGAGGTGCACTTTGAGGATCGCTGCCTGCGCAACAAGAGGCTTGAGAAGTGGGCAGTACCTACTCTGATCCTGGGGCATGAGGACATCGCCTATCCGCTGCCCACCCCAGAGCAGTCACTGAGTTCTATGCCCGGCCACGGCTCCTAACAATGGCGAGGAACAGGCGAGTGCTGTGTGGAGACCTGCAAGAGAAATCCTAGCGTGGACGATATCAAACTATACCGCCCGCCGGAGGAGGCCACCGTGCTAGCCAAGTGGGCGCACAACCTGCAACGGACGCCAACCAACTGACAAGCATGAGGATCTGCAACCTTCACTTCGAGGCGCATTGCATCGGCAAGAGGATGCGGCAGTGGGCCATACCGACTTTGAACCTAGCCGGCAACATTGAGAATCTTTACGAGAACCCAGAGCAATCGTTGCTGTACAGGCGACGCACGACTCACTTGAAGACGAAGCTGCCGCCAGCCTCCGTGAAGCCCACTTGGGTGCCCAGATGCTGTCTTCCACACTGTCGCAAAGTCAGAGCCCTGCACAATGTCCAGCTCTATCGCTTCCCCAAGCTCAATCGCTCCACATTGGCCAAGTGGGCGCATAATCTCCAGGTCCCAATGGTGGGCAGTGCCCAGCGCAGGCTATGTTCGGCCCATTTCGAGCCGCATGTGCTTAGCAAAAGTGTCCGGTGCCGCTGGCGGTGCCTACGCTCGACCTAAATTCACCACCCGGCTTAAAAATCTATCAGAATCCGGCCAAGCTAAAGGCCAGCAAACTGTGCCTGCAACGAGTTTGCATCGTCGAGAGCTGCCGCAAGACGCGGGCGCAGGGCGTGCAGCTTTTCCGGCTGCCGCATAGTCCTACACAGCTGCGAAAATGGATGCACAACATAAGGACGCGGCCACGAGCAGCTATGCGGGCTCAGTACCGAGTTTGTTCTCGCCACTTTGAGACGCACTCATTCAATGGCCGAAGATTAAGTGCAGGTGCCATACCGACTCTGGAACTGGGCCACGATGGCGACGATATCTATCCCAATGAAGCGCAGGCATTTGTGGACGAGCATTGTGCTGTGGAGGGCTGCGAGGCATCTAAGGAGCAACCGGAGGTGCGTCTTTTCCGCTTCCCCACCGACGACGACGATATGTTGTGGAAGTGGTGCAACAACCTCAAAATGAATCCGGTGGATTGCATTGGGGTACGCATCTGCAACAAGCACTTCGAGGCCGATTGCATCGGTCCTAAGCACCTGTACAAGTGGGCCATTCCTACGCAGGAGTTGGGCCACGATGACGCGCAGATCGAGCTGATCCCGAATCCCAAACCAGAGGAGAGGTATGTGGATCCCGTCTTCAAGTGCATCGTACCCACCTGCGGCAAGACTCGACGGTTTGACGAGGTGCAAATGAACAGCTTTCCCAAGGACCCGGATCTATTCGAGCGATGGCGGCACAACCTGCGCATGGATCATCTCAGTTTCCAGGAGCGTGACCGCTACAAGATCTGCAACGCTCACTTTGAGGAGATCTGTATTGGAAAAACACGGCTCAACATCGGTTCCGTTCCAACCTTGGAACTTGGTCATGACGATGAGGATGATATTTTCCAAGTGAACCCAGCGGAGCTTCAAAGCAATTTATTCGGGCGACAGCGTCGACTGCAGCTCGAGGGATCCGGCGAACTGAGGGTCAAGCAAGAGCTATCCGAGACAGAGGACAACAACAAAGCGGATGTGATGGTCACAGGCTCCAATTCCAAGCAGGTGAGACTTTTTGGGCTTAAAAGTTGCTTTTGCAAGGGTAAATCTTTCAGTATAATTCATGAACGTTGTTAACAATTATTTTTTGCTTTATTACAGTGAAAATCAAGAGATCTACTTCGGATCTAAATGTTGTGTGCACAGTTGTGGAAGAAGTCGCTTGGAGCACGGTGCACGTCTGTTTCCTTTTCCTACGGCAAGCAGCAGCACCTAAAGTGGCGTCATAATCTGCACTTGGAACCAGAGGAGGTGGACCGATCGACGCGCGTTTGCAGCGCTCACTTTAATCGACGTTGCATCGATGGCAAACAACTGAGGAGCTGGGCGATGCCCACCCAACAACTGGGACACAACGACCAACCGATCTACGAGAACCCGAAGAACATACCCGGTTTTTTCACACCTACCTGTGCCCTGGGCCACTGTCGCAAGCGAAGAAGTATTGACAACGATCTGCGTACCTATCGTATCCTAGAGCGAAGATCTTCTGGAAAAATGGCGGCTAACCTACGTTGGCTCCGGATCAGTGTCGTGGTCGGATCTGTGCGAATCACTTCGAACCGCAGGTGCGGGGCAACTTAAGTTGAAGACGGGAGCGGTTCCCACACTACAACTGGGACACGACGAGGGATTGATCTACGACAATGAAGCTATAAAGGCGGCATGGCCGAAGAAGAGGAGAGCATAACCACAGAGTTCCCGAGACTGAAACCAAAAAAAGAGGTGCTCGAAGAGAGGAGGAGGAGGGTGAAGGAATTGATGGCGAGCAGGAGCACCCAGATGACCTGGACGACAATGCCGATGAAGAAGACAGAGATGAACATTATTTTGATCCTCTTGAACTAGTAGAGACTTTTGCTGAACATCGTAGCGATGACGAAGCCCAGGACTATGAGGATGAAGAAGACGAGGGTCGGGTTGAGGACTCCCCTTCCAGGTACGATTTGAAGGAGGAGATAGAACAGCTTCCAAGCTCCCACCTTCCCCTCTTCCCCGGCGTTACCAAGCTCCGCGTCGAGACAAGCCGGCTAACAACGTAACGCCCATTTGCTGCCTGAAGCACTGCAGGAAGGAACGTACTGCCTTCCACCTCCTGAGCACTTTCGGATTCCCAAAGGATCGTCAGTTGCTGCTAAAGTGGTGTGCCAATTTGCATCTAAACCCGGACGACTGTATCGGTAGGGTTTGCATTGAGCACTTCCAGTCGGAGGTACTCGGCACCCGTAAGCTTAAGCAGAATGCGGTGCCCACCCTTAATGTGGGACATGAGGAACCGCTTAGATACTCGTGTCATGGCGTGGATCAGAATCTCGAGGAGCGGGACCCCCAGCCACAGCATTCGGTTTTTCGGCTTTGGAGCCTGAAACACTGCCGAAAAGGAAGCTAACGGAGCCGCCGGATATTCCCTAGCCAAGAGGAGAGCGCGGAGATGCCTATGTTGAAACGAGAGTGGGAGATGGAGATGCCGATGCCAATGCCGATTCAGATGCAGATGGAGCGGAAGAATGAGGCAAAGAATATAACTCAAACTAAAAATGAATCATATATATGCTGTATCAGCAGTTGCGCAAACCAGGAAATTAGCCAACTGCTGGCTTTTCCCGAAGAGAAGTCCTGCTAAGAAAGTGGAGACATAATTAAGGCTGTCTGAGACTGACCCTACTTCTCTAAGCCTGAAAAAAGTTTGTGTGGCGCACTTCGATTCGCAGCTGTTGGAGAATGGAAAACTCAGAAGGATGCAGAGGCAAAAGCTGTGCCCACTGTGAACGTGGGCCACAGCAGCTGGAACCTTTACAGAAGCAATGGATCTGTCTGGTGCCAAATGCAGCCACACAACCTTCGGACGCGTAAGCTTCATCGACCTGCCGGATAACAGCATAATTAGGGACGCTTGCTTCTCCTGCCTCAATCTACCTGAATCCTGCGAGGAGCAGGCGAGACTATGTAGTATCCACTTTATGGAGGCATACAAGAAGTTAATCTTCCTAATGTTCTGCACCCCCAAGTATAGAGGCTCTACAAAGTGCTTGGACGAAATGCAATGTGCGGTACCCGGCTGTTGTTATAAGGATGCTGATCCGAATATTTACCTAATCCAGCTTCCCGGTAACAAGGAGATGCTGTCGAAGTGGCTGCACAACACCAAGGTCCCCTACGATCCTTCTAGGCGCCAAAGCTATCGTATCTGCACGAACCACTTTGAATTAGATTACTTGGATACGAATGGCCCGCTAAAGGGGCTATACCGACGCTCCACCTAAACCATGAAGATGAGATTCACTTAAATACTAGGCCCTTGCCAGAGGAGCAGGGCTCTATATTAACTCCACTGCGGATAAAGACGGATGTGGCCTTCCTGGGCAGTCCCTGTGCAAGTGCAAGCCCCAGTCCACGGGGCAGAATCCGGATATGCTGCATTCCCACATGTGGACAGATTGGAAGCAGTCAAGTGAGGCTGTTTCGTTTTCCCACCGAGGAGCAGGCGTTGCTCCGGTGGCTGGTGAACACACAACAGCAGCCAAGACTGGTAGATCCCAGGACTTGTACGTGTGCCAGTCGCATTTTGAGCCGGAGGCCATTTGCAAGAAGCAACTTCGAAGCTGGGCTGAGCCCACACTAAACCTGGGACACGACGGTTATGTAATTCCAAATGCCAAACATAATGGAAATATTTCGGACAGCCAAGATACTGAGGAAGCAATGAGATTTATTCGGGAACGCTTCTGCTCAGTCATTCTTGCTTTCAGGCAGGAGGACAGGATGAGGAGGGAGTGAGGCTATTTGACTATCCCGAGGATATGGCGGCTACTCGAAAATGGGCAGCCGCATGCAGACATCGCTCTATGCAGGCCAGGAGCCATGGCTTCAAGGTGTGCCAGTTGCACTTCGCTAAGGAATCTTTGACCACAATACTGGAGACTTGATTGAGGGTGCTGTGCCCACTTTGGAGTTGAGCAGAGATGAAATGGAGAGGCAATGTCTTGTGGCTGGATGTGTAAAAAATGATGCCAATGGAACTCGCCTCCGCTACTTTAAGATACCAAAAGTTGCTGCCCAATTGGAAGCGTGGAGCAATAACCTTAAAATCCCTCCATCGGATCTCATGCAAGGGAGCAGCAGTACATCTGCGAGAAACACTTTGAGGCGTTCTGCTTCGGGGCCAATAAAGGACTGCGTTCTGGTGCTCTTCCAACCCTCCTGCTAGGCCATGATGAGGAGGTGGATATGCTTCCAAATCCGGAAAGCCTTTTATGCCAGGATACGTGCTGCGTACCGGGATGCGGGCGTATCTGGCAGACTGGGGATCGTAAGTTTCGCGGATTTCCCAAATTATTGGCCATGGCCAAAAAATGGAGGCATAACCTTCGTCTGGTAGAGCCCGTGGAGCAACTAGCCAAGCTGAAGGTCTGCAGTACTCACTTTGAAGCAACCTCACCCAACCTGGGCTCAAATGGATTAGTTCTAGTACCTCGATACCAACCCTGGAATTGGGTCACTCTTCTCCGGATATTTACCCAGCGGATATCAGCTTTAAGTTCCAAAAGCGGTCCGGAATGCCGGCGAAAATTTATTGTTGTTATCCCAAGTGCGAGGAAACCTGTTTGCCCAAGAATCTCTCTTACGGGCTTCCCCAGGAGAGCTCTAAGGAAAGCTGGCTAAACCATATGGACATAGAAGATCCGAAAGACGAAGGAGTCGCTCTGCTTTGCCCGCTGCACTATGTATTCTATATCAGCACAGTGCCACACACCATCCGGAGCATCATGCTTCAAGCAAATGTTTCTTGAAGACAACTACAATGAAGCGCGGAACAACAGGCGTTTGAAGATTGTGAGCTGTACGGTCAAGGGCTGTGACATGGTTAAGCCCCGGGATGGTGTAGCACTGCACGGGATGCCGCAAAACAAAGACATTCTGCAAATGTGGATAGACAATGGCCAGATTGAGTTCTTAGAGCAACAGCGGTAATGTTCAAGGTGTGTCACAATCACTTTGAGCCATGCTGCTTCTTCGACGACAGACGTTTGCACTCATGGAGTGTGCCCACTTTACGCTTACCTGGCGACTAATTCATCAAAATCCTACCGCCGAGCAGTGGCAGAGCATGATTAAGAAGCAAGAAGCAGCAAAACATACGCAGAAGAGAGCGATGAGCCAGAGCCATTTGAGGACGTGGTTAAAACCGAGCCCATTTTGAAGATGGAGCATATCGAATCGGAATATGAAGATGAAAACCCTGAGATGCAAGCCCTAGAGGTCCTCCTAGAAGTTGGCCATGTCGAGCGAATGGAGAGTTATGAAAAAATTGATAAATCACCTTTGATCTACAACGATAATGCACCTTTTCGATCTTCACCCATACGTTGCCAATACAATGCTAATCACTGTGCCGTAGAAGGATGCGAGGTGACTGTCGAGGATGTGGACGGACGATTAAACTGCACAAATTCCCCGCGTCGCAGGAAGCCGCACAGAAGTGGATGCACAACACCCAAGTTGACATGGACGAAAAGTTCTGGTGGCGCTACCGCATATGCAGTTACCACTTTGATCAAGAGTGCTTTCAGAGTGCTAGAATTCGAAAAGGCGCGATGCCCACGCTTCTGCTAGGACCTCGGCGACCGGAAACGGTGTACGATAATGAATTTGCACTACCAGATGGGGAAGAACCTTTTCTAGAGCCACCGGAGACTCAGCTTGAGGATACTATGACTGTGGCGTCCAGACTTCGAAAGGAGGTGTCAATTTATGCCTGCCCCCACGGGCGCCGCCTCGAAAGTCAAGCAAGTTTGCCAGATTGATTCTTGCACGAACCATCTAACACTGAGAACATGACTCTTCACAAGTTTCCCCATTCGGAGGACATGTGCCTCAAATGGCAGCACAACACGCAAGTCCCATTCGACCCATACTACCGTTGGCGTTACCGCATTTGCAGTGCGCATTTTCATCCGGTCTGTTTGGTCAATATGCGTCTGGTCCATGGAAGCGTTCCCACTTTAAAGCTGGGACCCAAGGCTCCTTCCGAGCTGTTTGACAACGATTTCGAAGCCATTAACCTAAGGTTGGATAAAAGGTTGACAGAGTCCAATGCTAATGTGTACATTAAGCATGAAAGGGAAGAGGATGAGGATTCTATGGTGTTCCTGGAGCCGGAACTCCAGTTACACGATGATCAAGACGATAAGATATCAAGCTGGAACAGCAAACTACAATTACAACCTGTGAAGCAAGAGAAAATTGTTTACAGCCAGATCAAGTCTGGCTATGATAAGTGTTCCCTGGCTCACTGCCAGCGCCAAAGTCCCAGCATGGCGTCCACATTTATAAGTTTCCCAGATCGAGGCGGCAACAGGAACGTTGGATGCACAATCTACATATTCGCTATGATGAGCGGACACCGTGGAAATTCATGATCTGCAGCGTTCATTTTGAGCCGCACTGTGTCAGCCTCAGGAAGCTGCGACCTTGGGCTGTGCCCACACTGGAACTTGGTGACAATGCACCAGAAACAATCTTTTCGAACGAACAGTGCGAGAAGGAGCTGCTGACCGATCGCAGTGATCTGGATAGCGATGCGGAGGACGAAGACGGCTTACAGGAGGACGACGATGATGAAGACGAAGACGATGTGAAGCCCGATGTAATTGGCATAAAAAGGAGGAGACGTTTTAAGATAGATTCCACCTGCCCTTAAGCCAGATTGCACCCTGGAAAGTTAAACAATGCTGCCTCCCCTATTGTCGTGCCTTTCGAGGGGATGGCATCAACTGTTTCGGCTTCCGAACAACCGAAACTCCATTAGCAACTGGGAACGGGCCACCGGCATGGTATTCAAAGAGTCGCAAAGGAACACTCGACTAATCTGCAGCCGTCACTTCGAGCCAGAGTTGATTGGAGTCAGGCGTCTAATGCGTAACGCCATTCCCACGAAGCACTTGAGCCCTCAAGCAGTTAACCAGATCCGTACTAAAAAGGAGAAGAATCCTCCTGCCACTATTATACCCATCTGCTGCATGGCGGACTGTCACTACAATGGAAATGTGAAGCTGCACAAGTTTCCAAGTGGTAAGAAAAGAAACAAATTAAACGATCTTTTTTTTTTATTTTGTGGAATTGAAAAATAATGATTTACATTTCTTTTCTTTGGCAGATCCTACTCTTCTCAGACAGTGGTGCCAGGCTCTCCGGCTCACTGATACGCAACGGTATTTGGGCAAGCACATTTGCTCCATGCACCTGCCAATGAACAAGACGTTGAGTTGTGTCATCTGCGGTGGGGACAATGTAGAATTGCCGATGTTAAGGTTTCCGGAAAACCGCAACCAGCGCGCCAAATGGTGTTATAATCTCAAAATTGATACAATACCAAAGTGGGACCACTCCAAGCACATTTGCTGCCGGCACTTTGAGTCCCATTGCTTGACAAGCCGGGTGAGCTTCGTCCAGGAGCGGCTCCCACGCTCCATCTCAATCACGATGACACAAACATATTCTTCAGCGACTATGCCACTGGTCTTCCGTCCTCGCCACTAGGCAATCGAATCAAAGACGAGCCCCTGGAATCTGAGTCCGACGAGATGCTGCTGGTGTAGTCTCCCCTGTTCCCACTCGAAATCATTTTATTCTAGGTTTTAGCTCTACTATTTTATAGGCCCTTTTGTACATTTCTCGTACCCGTGCCACACACATCACGTCTTCTAGTTTTTACCAAGTAGTCTCTACCATCTACCAGTGATTTTAATGCGTTATTTATTCGTAAGTGACTTAAGGAAAAATTGCCATACATGAAAGTATAACACGAAATGTTCCTTAAGTTTTTGTTTTTACTTTTATACATAAACACATACATATGTACTGCGAGAAAAAATATGATTTAGTTTCCACGATATAGATATACATATATATACCATAAATATACAAATGTAATAAGTAATATTCTGGAGCGTATATGTATGTGTAGAAATGTAGAGGACCCAGTAATAATTGGTGTTTTGAAAATGAAACTAACAGCCACTCGGAGAGTGGCTCACATCTCAACCCTAAACCGTGTTTTATTTCCTATGGCCTAGAATCTTGAAATTAATAGCTAGCAGTTAAAATTTTTTTTTTTGGCGTTTCAGTGCTACTTTGCTACTTTCTCAGCCAGTCATAAGTCACAGTTTCGAATTCGGGTTCGGTGCTATAAAATATATGTATGTATATCCAACTCTAATCAACGTCCTATGTCTGGAAAAGCCGCAACATTCGATTGGAAGATTAAGTGAGAGGAAATTTGACTAACAGCGAGTGATCACGAGTTGAAACTGCACGAGGAGCTTTCATACATTTGATCTGACAAAGAACAAAGTAACAAATTTAACAACTCGTGTGTATGTGTGTACATCAATGTTTATATATTTTAGTATTACACATTAAATTGTTTTAAATCCCGTATAATTTAAACGTATTAACTTATTGGCATTCAAATAATAAAAAAAAAAAAAAACACTTAAATAATAATTCTTTCTTACACGGTCTACTTTTTCCCTTAAAATTGGTTTGCATTCTATCTGTATTCGACATCCCACCCCATAAGCCCGGGCTAGTGATGCTTCCCTCCCTCATTTGTAGACGAACCATCTTCGTGTTGAGCGTAGCTGGCGTCCAGAAAAAGATTTCGATCCGATTTGTTGGACTGAAATAAAAGGTCAAGGGATAAGTGAGGAACTGTTGACAAGGAAAGGCATTTCTCACCTCGCGATACTTTTGCAAATATATGGATAGCGGCTCCACGTAATTGTCAAATCCCAAATTACTGAAGGCCACAAGCAGATCGTCCCCATTGACGGTTTTCCGGTTCTCGGCCACGCTGCGCTCTATGGCCTCACTGCTGATGAAGGAAATAAACTCGGAAACGCACTCCTGGATGCACTCGCGGGCATCCTTTGCTATCTTGCCGTTTTGCGGAACCGGCACCTTCATGATTTTGATAATGTTGCAGATGGGCAGGAAGCGGTCCTGCTCCCGCAACATAATGCTGCCGTCCTGTTTATCCGACTCGTCTGATGGAAGCAATGCATGTGAACACAACAGGCAAAGGAAACTGTTACATTAGCTTACCGCCAGACGCCTCGTCCTCCTCCTTGACCATCATGTCGTTCAGATACTGTTGAGAGTCCTCGCTGTTGCTCATTTTCTAAACGCTACCGAACCTTAATATTTTAATTTTACTTTTATGGCGGCTGTTTTTGTTAGCTGGGAGTAAGTGTCCTTACTGCAAATCAACTCTCCTTTTTCCAATATTTGTTTGTTTATTATTAAACAGCGGATGGATTTTTTTGTTGTCAATTTAGCGAATTACGTTCTAGTGGTGGTGGGTTTTGTGCACCTATCGATTGCTTTTGCCGATAGTCGATTCGGTGTGCATGTGATAACTCGCTATCGCTGTATCGATAACTGATAGACAACCGATCGCAGCGCAGCGGTATATTTTTTTGCGTTCTGCTTGGAAAACATCCTCAAATTAAAGCCTAAATGCATGTGAATTTGGCCATAGTGAAGCAGGAAGTGGACATTGACGATACTAAGATCAAGCTGGAGCCGGATGATCAGTTGTCGGATAACAGTACCGTTCCAATCTCTTGGGGTAAGCGTGCATGCAATTCGCTCTCTGCACACAGGCGGCGTCTGTGTATATGTATGTGACTCTCTGGGCTTTGGGTGTCTCTTATTTTATTACGCACTATACCGTTAACTTTTTTATGATTTAAAAAAATATATTGCAGCGGGCGAAGCTTGGGAAATGATCGACACGGAAGACTCACAAACGCTAACATCGATGATTAGCGAGTCTTCGCGGGAGGATCGCATGTCCGTTGAAAGAATGGGCAGTAGTGGCAGCCAGCAACAGGTAAGCAGAGCAATCCATCCATAACCTATAAAACAATGAGGAATAAAGGGCGCAGGGATGTAATGATGAATGAATGTTATTATAAGTAGTGTCGTTAAATATATAAATTTTAAAGGGAGAAGACAAATTAATACAATGTACTGTATTGTATTTTAAACCACTCAAGCAACTGGAGTTCCTACATATATGTACTTATATTTGATTTTAGGTTTCAAAGCCATTCGAATGCAGAATCTGTAACTTTGTTTTCAACAAGCACCTGGATATTTCGGAGCATATGTGGACCATCAAATGAACCGACACTTCTGTAAGTTCGGATGTGGTGCGTGGTTTGACTCTCTGGAGAGACCCTGGAACACGAGTATCGGCAGCACTCTCAGCCCGGGCTTGCACTCTATTGTAGGGTGAGCTTTCAAAACTTCTATATTTTTATATTGATTTTATTCATAGTTTTATATTTAACTAGATCTGCGATTTCATGACCAAAGATGCGGACAACTTGGCCAGACATATGCATAATCATGTTTATGTCTATCGTTTCGTCTGTGCCATTTGCCGACATCATTTCGATTCCATTGATAAAATCAAGCGGCACCGAAACAATAGCAGAAGCCTCTGCAGTCAGGTGAGATACATTAATGAAGCCTCTACCAAAGCCGAGTTGGTGGCAGTCAGTGCCGCGCCCGTTTCTGGCCAGTCATTTTGCGATGTGAATATTAAGGAGGAACCACTGGAATTGGAAGAAGAAATGGCGCAGATGCCAGTGGAGGTCATCAAAGCCGAAACCCACGATGTAGATGAAGAACTTCATGAAGGTAATATTAAGGAGGATCCGGATCACGTGGAGGAAGCTATCAGCAGTGCATTCTGGTCAAGCATACCTAATCCACTTCGGAGCAAACTGCGCCTTCCCGCTATGAAATCAAACAACGAGCATATTAAACCAAAATGTAAGTTTTGTTTTGTATTAATCAATCGAAATTCTATTTAACTGTTTCCTCCTCAGCTGTTGCGAATGAAATTCTTCTGTCTGAAGGAAACCAGTCGACATTTTACCACTTCCTTCCGAAAATATCAAATTTTGCCAAAGAAACCAGCACAAACTGCAGCGAATATTTTAAAAGCATTGCCGAGCAATTGCATGGTCATCAAGCTGCCAGCCAACACCAAAATCATTAAAATGGTTGGTCAAACAACTCCAGCAGCCCAAAATAAATCAAGCGTAAAACTTCAGAGCGTCCAGGAAAAGTCGACACCAAGTACTATTGTAATTCCGCAGGCGATAACAATAAGTCAAATCAAGTCGGAGGATGCAAAACCGAAGCTACCTGTTGTAACTTCGCTGCCTCCTCAGACCCACAATAGGAACATAACATTACTTCAAGATGCGTTCAACAAAGCTGAAAGCCACCCAGAATCCATGAAAATTATTTCTGAATTTCGCAATCAAATACGTTCCATAGAAAAACATTGCCGCTGCCAGGAACAGTTCTGCAATCTGCAAATACTAAAAGCAATTATCCCCCCGTCTCCCCTAAAATGGCTGCATATGAAAATGCTCCTAGGCCCCTCCAGCTACTGCTCAATCCATTGTCAGTTTCGGTGGTGAAGGAATTGCGTATAACATATCCGCTGTATGGCTTCCTGTGGAAGTGTCCTTTTTGCCATCGAGCATACGACCAGAATTACGCCATTCGCATGCATTTGATAAGCAATCATAACATGAGCCAAGAAGAACTAAATAATCTAAAAGTGATTTTAATGCCATATAAATGTAAGTACATTCGTGTTGCGACTCTCATACATAATATTTTTACACATAGAAATATTTACTTAAGCAACGGAAATCTAGTATTTGTAATGGTTATTTTATACCCTTGCAGGGTATTATAATTTTAGCCAGAAGATTAGAACGCAGTGAAGTCATTTCTGATCAGCATTAACAGGCAAATAGCTGCCTCCGGCCACAAAAATTTCATTTCAGAAAATTCCCATTTTTTTTTAAAAAGGAAAGGGGTTAGTTACATCATTAAAATTTGCAAAAATCGGCCAAAAATTCACATTTTTAATGGAGTATGCAGTTTAATTGGCCAGCTCAAAATTAATATACGAACGCTTTCCGAATTGAAACAAATGCATTTTTGGATTAGTTATGAATTTTTTTAATTTTGTTTTGTTGAAGAAAATTTGTATAGAAAAATGTAGTTAATATCGATTAAAAATGGTATTGCACCTTCAGTCAGAAGCTCAAAAGAAAGTGAAGGAGTCATTTCCGACCCTCATCATATATATATTCATATATATTCTTGATCAGCATCAACAGGCAAATCTTTCTAGCTATCTCCGGCCACAACAAATTATTTTTCAGAAATTTCCCATTTTTTGAAAAAAAAAAAGGAAAGGAAAACTCAAAAGAAAATAAAGGAGTCATTTCCGAACCTAGAAATCCTAGGCATTTTAATTTAATCATATATTCTTAATCAGCATCAATAGTCAAGTTAATCTAGCTAGGTTTGGTACAATTTTATTTTATTCAAAAAGTCAAAATTGTCAAAATTTGACAAAAAATCTAATTGTCATAAATTTAAAATATGGTATGCAGATTTATTAATTAATTATAAAAATATTGATTTATAAGATCTAAAAAGGACATATTTGAGGTCTTATTTGTAATAATGGCTGACGGAGGCATTATCAGCATAGATTAGAAATACATAGAAAAGTTTTCCGATTGGAAATTGATTCTATTTTGGCTTATTTATGATAGATTTTCCCTGCAAGGTTATAGAAATTTTGGGTTCCCGAAAGTAGCTTCCATTCTTATTTCTTTACTTTTTTGCAATCAAATTTAATAATTTTGCAATTCTTTGAAATTTCAGTACTTTCATCGGACCCACCACCTCTGGAATCAAATCAACAAGTGCCAAATTCATATTCAGATGGCAAGGTTGAAAATGTAGCTTCTCTGCGGCTGGATGCGACGGTTTCAAAACCAACAACTCCACCAATTGTTGATGCTACTGATTTGTTACCACCAACGAATGAACAACCTAATAAACAAACAAAACCGGGAAAGCCGGGCAAAAAGGATAAAGCAAAATGTACGGAATTCCAGTGCACAGAGTGCTCCAAAACGTTTACCACACTTGGAGCACTCCGCATCCACAAGACTATACATACAGGAGAATTGCCGTACAAGTGCGACTACTGCGAGAAACGTTTTCGGACCCCGGGACAAGTACGAGTACACCATCGTCGTCACACTGGCGAAAAGCCCTTCAAATGCAAAGTAAGCTTAAATGATTTTTCATTTAAATATATCTTTAAAAAGTCTGAAATTTTAAAACACAATTCAAACACATACACAAATTTTACTGAAATTGCAGGTCTGTTCCTTGGATTTCACTCACAGAGAAACTCTTATATCTCACTTATCCCGGCATATTGGAATGAAGCGTTACAAATGCTACGGTTGCGACAAATACTTTGTAGTCGTCAGCGGCTTACGAGCTCATCGGCGACTCCGGCCGGATACATGCGGCAAGGTTAAGTTCACGGCGAGAGCCCACGGCCCCCGGGTAAGAGTTGTCCGGGGAGAAGTGATATTTGAGCCACACCCGGAACACAATGGCTATCTGCGTAGTGAGGATCCCGTGAACATATTGACGGAACTGGCTCAAACCTCAGACCTAACCAGACCGAAACCTGCTGAAGGTCTAAACTGATTGTTAAGTTTATGTTATTTCGCTTAAGTTTTCTTTATGCAGTTTATACATTACACTTGATGTAATATTCCAAACACCCAATAAATTTCAAAAATCTATATGTTTACGTATTTTTCATTGTTTTGAATATTTTACCTTTATAACAAGCTTCTTGGGAAGGAGACATCTAAAAGTTTTCCAATTTCCATTTACTATTCCCAAGAAAATATCTAATACTCGAAATAATAATTTTTTTTCGTGTTATTCCATCTTTATTATTTTTTGCGTTGGTTTTTGCATCTTTTTCTGAAAATGATATATCATTTATACGGTATTTTTAAACGTAATATGTTTTTCCTAATCATACATTTATGCGAAATACATACGCTTGTCTGTGGCTTGATTATTATAATCATTATAATGTTTTTGCTTGTGATTCCTTTTACCTTTGAACCCTTTATATAATCCGTCTACTTGATAAAACATATGTATATTAAACAATTTATATTTCAACAAAATTTGACAAGCCGACAAAATGTAATATACAATGTACTCACTCGTATTTCCCAAGTGATTTGTATGGTATATTTATTTATATTAGTTTGCAAACTCTGCGGGGTTATCTTTATTTAGACATCTATTCCTGCTAATGCTAATGTGTTTAATTTTCATCTCTCGACTTATTCTGAATGCCCAGCTGGAGGCCAACAGCGCTGCAAAATTTACTAATTCTTAACACATCCGGATCTGTTGGCGGGTGGCAACATGCTAGGGGTTTCGTAACAAATATCTTGTATTTCGTATAAATATTTAGTTTACATATATTAATAATTACTGTTTAACATGTGTTTCGGTTAATAATTTCGTGTATGCCTTATTGCATTTGCTATGCTATAATTATATATATATATATATTCGGGCCCGACTTAAACGATCTGCAAAACATCTTATCAGTTATATACATAATTGTGTACCTAAAGTACTATGCCAATGTGTCATTTCATTTTATGGGGTAAAAGTGTATATGCTACAGTACATATCTACAGTTATTCCTCTAGTCTGCTGGCTTGAAAACTAACTTCATCGTCACCTTAGGTACAGTAATTGTTTAGCATTTCGGTGTAAAATTGGGTATTGACTGCGGTATATACAGGAATGTAAGTGAAAACTAAATTGAAATCGGGGGAATGAGGTTAAAGTTCCAATTAGCTTATTAGCTGGAAGTTACAAAGTATCTCGTGGCGATTAGGTCTTTGTGTGTCACCAGTACCTTTAGTGGGGAACAAACTTAATTTTAAAAAGTAAGACTATCTGTCCTATAAATTATGTACTACGCAAGACTTTTGACTAATTGCACGGGTTATTTAAGCCAACCAAGTTTACAAACTGATTAACATATTAATGTTTGATTGATTGATTGTTGTATTTCCTATACACGTCTAAGTTGTAATGGCAATTTGATTTACTTTCAAAACTCCCCAAACAGTATGTGGGATTTAACTCAAACGACAACTACTTTCGACTCTATACATACGTTCCTTTGAGATTCTTTTTAGGAGGTAAGTCTAATAGCTACCAAGTCCTTATTTCAAATATGTATCGGTTTCCAGTGGTCCGCCCTAAGCATGGCTCCACGAACATCAAGTGATTGGCCTCCTCTCCTCAGTTATGTAGTTCGAGCAAAGACTTGATGCATATATATATATATGAGCTGATATAAAATTACTGATAATTAAACCTGTACCAGTCTTTTTAAGTTCACATTATCAATGAAATCAAACGCATTAAGAGACCGAGGCCCCAAAAGAATCGTAGCTGTAACGTAATCTGGGGACGAGGGGTGCGCTTATTGGCTAATCATATTGACGTATGTATATAAGAATAGGTGTATTAAATTGTAGGCAGTAGCTGGTTATAATACTTTAGAGTCATCGTGATATCGTAAATGCGTATTATGCGTAAGGGATTTGCTCTATAGCTCTATTGCCTGGAAAATCGCTTTCATTTTCAGTTTCCTCCTCAATTAGCATAGTTGTCGAACGAGCCCAAGTACTCCAATGCAGCGCGGTAGCAGAAGTGGTATTGATCCTAAAAAATAAATTATTTTATTAGTATTTAATTCATTATTATATTTTCTTGAAGTTCACCTCTGTTTGGACCATCGCCGGACGCTGGGAACGAAGAATGCGGACAGTCTGGAAGACGTCCAGCACGCCCTCGTACTGCATTCGCTCCAGCACGATACTGAGGGTGATGAAGACACCGGAGCGGCCGACACCCGCAGAGCAGTGCACGGTAATGGGCCCATCCTGGCCAAACTGCTCCTTGGTCTTGTGCACTTGTCCGATGAAGTCGATGAAGCCCTCCCCGGATTTTGGTACGCCCTGTTCCGGCCAGTCGATGAACTGAAACTGGCGGACGGTACGTGAGGAACCATCTCGGGCATCGGTACCTATGCAAAGATAACATTTAAAAGCGGTTAAATATACTGTAAAAACTAGTTTTAAAGATAAATAATGAATAAAGAGAGGGGAAGTATGAAATTGTTTTTTTTTTGTATTGGAAAATTATTAAAAAACATATTTTTGTAGTCTTTTTTAGACAATTGCAGGCTATTATAGTTTTAGTCAACAGCTTGAAACGCGGTGAAGGAGACATTTCCGACCCTATAAATCATATATGTTCTTGATCAGCATTAAGAGCAGAATCGATCAAGCTATGTCCGGTAAAAATTTATTTTTTTCAAAAATTTGAAATTTTTATAAGGGGTTACATCGTTAAAATTGTCAAATTTGACAAAAAATCAAATTTTCTAAAATTTAAAATTGAGTATGCAGATGTATTAACCTAATAAAAACTAGCATAGGACAGCTTTCCGATTTAAAATTAATTCATTTTTGACTGAGTTATGATATATTTTCACTTAAAGGGTATACAAATATCAGGTTCCTTTCTTGTCAGGAAATTTAGGTTATTGTTTTGATAACTTAATTTGTGTTATTACTTACCTTAAATTCACGTAGCTTGTACTGCGGCATGTTATACTCAGCGATTGGGTCTACCACATAATACTGGTATCGAACAGAACGCTCATGGGGCCAGTACTGGAAGCACTTTTCCTGCGAAAGTAAGTATAAATTAAGTTTTATAGTTTTAATAAAGGATTCCCGTTTTGTTGAACGAAGATTAAATATTAAATTTTCATTCAGATTGATCCTTCCGATATTCGTTTCGTGGGAACCGAAAAGCATACACCAACCTACTCTTCTAAATTTTATTTCCTTCAGACGATTTCAAAACATATTAGAAAAAAATAATTAAGTAAATGCTATGCCTGAATAAAATTGAATAAATCGCTGAAACCTTCAACTTAAAACTTAAATTTGCAGTATTTAAAAATAGCCAAATAGAAGCATTTCATAAACAAGTTTTGACCGAAATTTAATTGATTCATTGCTTACCCTGCCCATTTCCTTGAGTTTGGTTAGCATGACCACTATGGTTGAGTTATGCTCCCAGAGCATGCGCCAGAAGTCTTCGGCTGTATCCTGGAGCGGACCCTGGGCGGCGATGTATGCGGATCGGTAGCGATAGCCGTCTATAAAGCTGGCGTTAACATAGTCACTGCCCTCGATGCCGTGGATAGGGGTGAGATAGACACGACTTGATTCATATGGCAAGATGTGCACTAAGCGATTCTTGTGCTTGTTGCAAGGCAGGTTGGCCGTAACGAACTTGGACGAGTCCATCTTGACATTGGACAGCTTCTTGAACTCCACCTCCATGCCAGAGATGCTTTCGCCTGGCTCCGTTGTTAGCAGCTTCTGGAGGTGAGTGTGTAGGTTGCGCGCCGGCACCTCCGTCAGACCACAGATGATGGCCTCCAAAATGGCGTCGTGAATGAAGATATACTGGTCCTCCGTTTGCACCATGTAATTGCGCTGAGCCCGCAAGCAGGTCACATGTCCGTAGATGTCGATGATCTTCTCGTGCTTCATACGCTCCAACATTGAATCAATAACGATATAGCATCCCGTGCGACCAACTCCCGCCGAGCAGTGGACAATCACGGGTCCAGACTCTGGCGGGGTAAGAGCGCGACACCGCCGCAGAAATTGGAGGAATGGAGCTGGATGGTCGGGCACTCCGTGATCTGGCCAGGCAGTGAACTGCAGTTGCTTGATCTCGCGACGGTCGTTGAAGCCTTGACGGCACAGCTGGAATGTTCGGATGCTGTAGGTGGCTAGCTCCTGCGTCTCGGTGATGGTCACAAAGATCTGGCCATATGTCTCCGTTCCCCGAGTGGGCCAGTATTGGTCGCATTTTATGCGCGTCCGCTCCTCTAGTCGTGTCATCATCACAATGGTGGCCGTCTTCAGTTCCCAGCACATGCGCCAAAAGTCAATGAAGGTCTCCTGTAGCGGTCCCTGGGTGGCCACGTACGCGTTGTGCTTTCTATAACCATCACAGTAGTTGGCGTTGATATAGTCGGATCCGGCGACGCCTTCTGCCGGCGGCAGCTGGACGCGGGAATGGTCGTAGGCTGTGACATTGGCGTACCGGTTCTTTGACTTATTATGCTCCAGGTTTGAGTTGTCCCAAGTGAACTGCTGGCCCGGCTCGATGCTCTCATACTCCTGCGAGAACTTCTGATTGTCATTCGATTTAAGACGCTCGATGTGGTTGGCGAATTCGGATATTGGTATGGGCGGGTGGGAGATCATGCCGGGCGTCTGGAAGTTGAGGCGCCTCATGTCCACAGGATCGCTGGGTGTGGGTCCGGCGCCCAGGTCGGCGGCCATCAGTGGCCTTGTCACTGCCGCCTGATCAGGAGTCTTGCATGGCTGTCGGCGGCGCTTCACCACACAGAACACAATCAGGGCGGTGGAAACGATGAAAGTGGAAACCATTAAGGGCAACACTACCCACAATATCTCAGGTTCGTCCTTGTTTCGATTTACGGACACCTCCGGTTCCGAAGGCCAGTTGGGATCCGGTCGATGGGGACGCTCACCAGGCGGCGCTTCCCTCATGTCCAGGGATAGGAACTCCGAGAAGGGACTAGATGTGTAGAGATGCTTCTGTGGCGTATC